TCATGGTGAGGGTTCATTGGTCTTTTCTTCAGACTAATAACTGAATATCTTGGAGCAAATACCGTTTGGCTGGGGGTCGTTGATGAAGTAGGGGTGCCACTCTCACATGACTGTACACTTGACCTTGTGATGATCAGACAAAATCTAAATGGACAATAGTACAAGACTGGGTAGTTGTATCACACTTCGACCACAATACCATGGACACAGGCAAGACAATGTTTGGCCACATCGTGCACGTGCCTTTAGTGATTTCCGACGTCAAGAGGCGGGGACAACTCTACCTTGGTTGGCCAGGAGTCCAGATCTCAGTCTCATAGTGCATGTTTGGAACATTATGAGCCAAATTCGCCAGAGAGATCCTCCAGAACTAAATTTTAATGGAGAGATCCTCCAGAACTAAATTTTAATGGAGTGGAACAAGCTCTCCATCGAGAATGGAACGCAATGCCTCAAATTCAAATTCAACGAGGTCAATGGGGATGTTATTGTAGATTGGCGGAGGTTGCACCATAATTTGATACTGTGCTCGGTTATTGATACGTATATGATTTCTTGGGGATTGTATGCCAGAATCTTGAAAATGACCGCGCTTGTTAACGCCATTCTACCATAGTTATCGGTACTACAAAAATTAGTCAATGTTTTGCCATGTATGCTTCCCTAAATAAACTACACTTTTTCTTTCTTTTTGCGTTCAGATTTGCCATTTAATTAGTCCTTGAGGATCAATTTATCTATATACTAAGTTAAATTGAAGTATGGATATGTTCCTTAATGGCATGGTATATGGAAACATAGTGATATTACTATGAAGAATATGGGGGTGTTTCGATATTTATTCAATGTATCTATCTTATAGTTCATCAAACAAAAGTACGAAGTGTCATTTCTTCACATTCCCATGCTGAATGGTCCCTTTAGCGATGTGAAAAGTTTTGACACACCAAGGTCAGCACGCAGAAAAGAAATGGAAACCAACTGGACATTATGTTTTGTGTTCTTTGAATCTTAAATTTTGTATTCATTGTAAAATTAATTCATGGTTGATCGTTATCCTACAGCACTTACAAAGGACTATGCAAATACAAATGTAGATCTGATTCCATGAAAAGGACATAGTATAGGACAGTTTTTTGTGTACAACAGATCACGCACGCAGGCCGTGGTCTTGCATACTTGAATGTGACGGAATTTGTTTGAAAGACCTAATATACTGAGTCAAGAAAGAAACTTCACATTCTTTCTTCAGGGCACTATAAAAGAACAATAGATGGGAAGATGGTTAAATTGTTATTATTTCATTGCTGAGATCTGTGTGATGTACTCGATACACTGACAGTGCCATAATCAGTTCCATAAGGCTACACCGCCGTTCCAAAACATGGGTATACAGAATGTCAAGTCACAAGAATAAAAATGCGAAATTTCTCAGTTCAATATCGTGTATGGCCGCCCCGCGCATTCACCACTGCCAAACACCGTCTCCTCATCGACTGCCTGATGCTTGTGAACACGTGGTTGGGGATTCTGCGCCATTGCTCTTGCAAGGCAGCGCCAAGTTCCTGCAAATTCTGAGGTTGGTTCCTAAGACCACGAAGCCTTCTCCCAATTGCATCCCAAACGTGCTCTATTGGATTAAGGTCAGGGGACCTCGATGGCCAGTCCATGACGTTGATTCCAGCGTTTTGGAGGAAATTTCGTTTCAACATCGCGGTATGCGGCCGAGCATTATCATGCTGGAACTGTAGACCTGGGCCATGAGCCGCCATGAAAGGAACGAGTTCAGGGGTGAACACCTGGTCGCGGTAAGCAGCAGCTGTGAGGTTTCCACGGATGACCAGAAGTCGGGAACGGTTGTTCCCACAGAAAGCACCCCACACCATGCAACTTCCGCCCCCGAATCTGTCGACTTCCTGTACACAACATTGGGCATACCGATCACGACGTCGTCTCCAGACTCTATGCCTGCCGTCCGCAAATCAGAGACACTGGATTCATCGCTAAAGACGACTCGATTCCAGTCTCTTTGGGTCCATCGGAGGTGACGTTGGGACCACAGCAGACGTTGACGTTGATGAAACGGCGTCAATATTGGCCCACGATATGGACGTCTAGAATGGAGATTGGCAGCCCGCAACCGATTTCGAATTTTGAGGACAGTCGACCTCAAAACATCTCAGCCCTGGTTCATGTAGCCGGTAGAAATCTGTCACGTAGGTGACGTAGGACGATTTGACGGTCTTCTGCTCGTGACGTCACACGTGGACGACCCGACCTTGGGCGATCAGAAGTGGGGCCAGTTTGTTGTAGACGACCTCGCAAGTCATACACAGTACGACGGCTGCATCCCATTGCTCTTGCGACGTCAATAACTGATCTTCCCGCTTGCAACATGCCAACAGCACGTTCACGTTGCACATTTGACAATCGTGGCATTTCAAGTACAGTTAGAACTGTGGTTTAAAAGTGTTTTTTCAATTCTTGAGGCCAATGCAAACACGTGCATATGAAGAAAACTTCGATGCGAAGATCACGCGATCGACTGCACATGCAAAACCTGATTTGGCACTAACGTCATTTGCACGACGAATGGATGGGTTTGAGTGGGTTTTGCTAACGTTTTTCTAGAGTCGAAAGATAGGGATCCCATTTCGGATACATAGATGTATCATCTGAGAAAAATTATTCATTATTTTTCAAATTAGATTTTGTGAAGTTTCTTTTTTGACTCAGTATACATAAACATAATATCGATATTTAAAAAGCGCCTGTATGCTCAAGGCACTTAGACATTATTACCCCGTTTAACACAAGTTGCTTGTGATGGGCATATGACTTATCCCAGAGGGTACTCATTCACTGCTGGATGAACAGAGTCAATTTTGAACAAACTCACCTCATTCAACCAGCTCACTTACTCAGCTGTTACGTCTTTACATAACTGGAATACCGTTGACACAGGCTTTAAACCCAGCTCACTCACTCAGCTGTTACGTTTTTATATAACTGGCACGTCTTTTCAAATGGTAGAATTTTCCTAAAGCATTAGCGTGCAATTTCAAATGGAAAACATACAAGTGTATAAGGAACAATGCCGTGAAAAATAATATTCATCTTCTATCTAAACCTATTGAGAAAACCTATTTGATCCTCAAAAACAACATCATACCTCAAAGTTTCAACTCCATGAGCAACGACAGTATACTAATAAGTGCTAATGGTCGTCTGTGCTGACATTGTACATCAAATGCTGGGCGAAGTACTTTTTTGAAAGTGAAGAGTATTCAAGTTCTTCACTTATTATCTAGAGTGAGTGAGTTTAGTTTTACGCCGCACTCAGCAATATTCCAGCTATATGGCGGCGGTCTTTAAATAATCGAGTCTTGACCAGGCAATTCTAACTTGGATCTTCACGGGTTTATAAGAGTGACTTCAGATTCACTATGATAATTAGCATGAATAATTTTAACATGGTCTACACCAAGATTAGTAAATGTACTTTAAAATTCCCATTTCGTTCTTTAATATATGTAATCACCGATTTTATGCATTTGTATTAAAGAATCTGTCTATGTAACTGTCAACAAAATAAACAGCAGAACGCAATTGACCCAACACTGCCGCTGTTACAGGTCATTGGCTCCCTCCCTCTGCAAGCATTCTGCGTTCTGTTGTTTATTTTGTTGACAGGTATATTTGTGTTTGTAAATGACATGAACTATATAACTGAATACATAAGGTATGATGGACTTTCATCTACAAGTCGTGTATTCTAGACATCTGAATGGAATGTACCATTGAATAGGTCTGAGCAAATCTTGTATCAGGAGCGGAACAACCACCAATTATAGTGAATAAGTCAACACAACCCATCCGACCGTATTCCAACATGCTAGACAATGGGATAACGGGTGTGTTTTTCACTTCCCCACTTCTATCTGTTCTCAACAGTACATCCTACTGTTCTCGTGGGAAGCATTCTACGAAGTCTATGACTGACTGACTGGGTTTGTTTTTTACTCCGCTTTTAGCAATATTCCAGCAACATCACGGCAGGGGACACCAGAAATGGGCTTCACACATTGTACCCATGTGGGGATTCCGAACCCAGGTCTTCGGCGTAATGAGCCAGGCACCAGATACCATGCACCGACACAGACTGTGAAGGAAATACATGTATGCACAACATGATAGCCCTCAGATGTTCAATAACTATGTGATTTCAAACATGCAGTGAGGCAACAGCTATCCCAAAGCCCTCCACAACTCAAGTGAACCCTCTTCCACAAAGGAATAGCCCAAATGAAATTAATGTCAGCAAATGTTAACTGATTTATGTCATACTTCATTTGACCCAAGTTAACAGTTCTGGAATCAGGTACTTTGGTAAACAGCCCTTGAGTGATGTCATCATTAAATCTAAATAAGTCTCATTTCATGATTCTTGAAAGCATGTATAAAAGCATTAACTAAGTGAATATGACCAGTTATTATCAGTTTGTAGGTATTCCGATATGTGTTTTGACTGTTGACATAGATACCTTAAAATATAAAATGCAACATTTATGATTTTTATCATGTGTTATTTGAAACTTTAGACTGAAGGTCTAAGGTGTTTAGCTTACTGGTAGATAAGGCAATCTCGAAATCGTAAGATTAATGTGATTTGAGTCTTACTGATAACAGGTATATTCTGCAGCAATTTAATTCAGATTTTTCCCTATCAGATTTTTTATGGAACATTGCTTGTCTTGGATATCTGTATAAAGGTCAGTTAAAGACTTCTAGTCCTCTCTAAATTATGAATCATGACCAATTGTGTGGACGTCATGATGTTTATGATTTTGTTACAAGTACTTATTATCAAATACAACAGGACTTTGGTCCTTTGCAGGTTCCGTTTGGTGTATATCTGATCCATGCCACCTTCATGCTGGGTATTTGTTTAAAACCAAGTGCTTCATGAAGCTTGAGGGATACAGCATTGCTCTCCTCAATCACAACAAATGCTTCCTTGCCAGTCTGAAGTCTCTTCTGTGCCAGATATGACATGATGACCTTGGCGTATCCCTTCCCCCGATGCTCCTCCACCACATGTAGCATTCCGAGGGCCCCATAATGATAGGACATTGCAAATCCAACAATGGTGCCATTTTGGTCATACAGACAGCAGGAAGGTAAACACGTAATGAGCTTGTCAATGTATGCAAGAGATTCATTTCCACTGTAAATTTCCACTGGGAGTTAACAAACTTGGAGTCACCTTGGGTTAATGGTAAAAGCTTGAAGCCATCTGGGACAGGCCTGGAAGACAATGTGACATACTACATAATGCATTTTGTACCACATTTGTAAAGTGAAAAGATAAAGTACTTAGAGGCAAGGATGGCCCAGTCATCTGAGGCATTTCTAATTATTGTGCAGAGTTGTCTCCCTTGACATAGTACCTTTGATAATAGGTTCAAATCATCCCAATCATGGTTTTTTGTTCGTCAGCACCATACCAATGATCAAGGACTTCAACAAAGTGGTTATACAACTGGAATGCTATTCAAAGCTGCATTAATCCCATTTCACTAACTAAACAAGGTATTCTGTGACTTGCTTCCTAGCAAATTCTTTTAAATGTTCAAAATAATGCTGACTTGTGTGGTAACTCATTCATTTTAACTTACTTGACATTCAGGCTTTCTTGAGTAACACACTGCACGTAACAGGGCTCTGATGGATCACTGCTTCCTCCATGACATTTTATAGCTTCATTTATAACTTTAGAAAATGTGGAGTCCACACCTGTCAACAAACATCAGTATAATTACATGACTGAAATTATTGAAATGTATATTTTCCACATTTTATGTCTGCCTTGTATATGCATAAATGTATGAAATGGAATTTTAAAAACAAAAACATCAGCATATTTGATATGTAATAATGATGTACATGTATATATTTTTACAGTTATAATATAAGGTACATATGTGCCCAGACCAAAGCATGAGTCTAGTAAATTGTTTATATATAAGTTCATGGCAAACAATGGTTTGAGAGTTAAATCTTCTGAATGGTATGTGAATGTAGAGGTTTGGGGCTACTATTCTCACAGGCAATCTGTAAAACTAGTTTTAAATTTGGTCTGACCAAAATATGTATTGTAAGACTTTCAACATTGTCAGCAGCAGGTGGTTAACATTTTCGGAAAAGAGCAAATTTATTAATGAAGCACTGAAATTGTTATATCATATAAACAGTATATTCAGTGATACAAGACAAATGTTATGGATAACAACTTCTTTGTTTGTTTCTCACAACATTTCTGGGCTAGATCTTGCCCCTTCTTCCATCATATTCATAATATCTGATCAACAAATAAAATATAAACATTAAAATTACCCAAATACTCACTTACTATTATACAGAACTACTGTGAAAGATATTCAACATTATAGATTATCCAGCTATATGAGCAAGTGATTGAAATGATTTCACAGTATTGTTTCAGCAATATCACAGTGGAAACATCAGAGATGAACTTGACATATTGTACCCACATGAGGAATCAACTGACTGACTGACTGAGTTTGGTTTTTACGCCGCTTTTAGCAATATTCCAGCAATATCAGGGCGGGGGACACCAGAAATGGGCTTCACTCATTGTACCCATGTGGGGATTCGAACCCGGGTCTTCAGCGTGACGAGCCAATACTTTAACCACTAGACTACCCCACCGCCCCATAAGGAATCAAAATGGTCATGAAGATCAGACACTTGTATGCGATACATACTCTGAAATATTCATGCACCATCAACTCACATGCAAAAACAATCCCCTTATTCCAGTCGATGACTCCTTGCTGTTCCAGCAGATCTGATAAGGCCGTCTCATCCTCTGCAGCCACATTGTAGATGTTGTTAAGGAACTCAAACTATAACAATCAGTGTACAGAATAAGACAGGTTCTGTGATGATGTTTCTTTAGAGGGTTGACTTTGTACATGTCTTGTACATGTCATGTGCATGTGCATGTGTGTGTGTGTGTGCATGTGTGTGTGCATGTGTGTGTGCATGTGTTTGGTGGTTTGGAGAGAGAGAGAGACACAGAGAGAGAGAAAATTGTAAATGGGTATACTATGTTCCTGGGACAAAATGTGAAATTACATCTGATAAATAAAGGCGTGATAATATTTCAAACCACTCATTACTTTTCAGGGTTTCTTATCATCACTTTTTATTCACATTTCTACAGACAGCAGGGCTCCAGATAATTTTTCATGATCAGGAGTACGTACTCCTTATTTATTCAATATAGGAGTACTGGAAAACCTTAAGAGTACATTTAGAGAACTGAATGGAAATTAATGGCGTATCAGTAATCTTGTGTTTTGTTTCATATATGCACAACATTGCTACTCTGGTGTAAACAGGTCAATATACAATAAAACAATACTTTTTCAGATAAATCGTCTGTAAATGATTCTAAGACCGTACACCATTGCTGTGCCGCGTATCTGCTACGCTTTCTAAATTATTTCCTACCGTATCTTGCATATGTTTTATCCGTACATACTCCGATACAACCCTTATCTGGAGCCCTGAGACGGTTTATCACCACTAGTAAGAGATGGAATAGTTAGGTAGTTGAGCAGAGTATGTATGTAGACTAGCTTGGTGGATGGATGTATAAATACATAGATAATTGGCTTACTGGTGTACAACATAAAACAAAGGATACTACCATATAATTATGAAAATTGGGAACATTACATTCAGAATACCTCTAACCACTGATTGGGCTGCTACCTACCTCCACAGTCTCAGGATCAGGCTTTGTAATAACTGCCTTGAAGTCCGGCCATTTGTCCACAATAAAATGAAACCCTGTGACCACCGAGTCCAACTTTGTTATCACCTCATTGTATATCTGAAATAAGACTCTAGTGCAAGTACACATGCATCATAATGTACGACCTGGTGTTGTATCAATAAACACTAGTACCTAGCAAAGCATTTACATCTATTGTTATCATATTGTTACATGTGTAAAATTATTCAAACAATAACTTTTCAAAGTTCGTCTGTAAATGAGAAACAGTGTTGTTAAGAGTACCAACAGAGTTGTGTATAAATTAATTATTAGTCTGCTACTAAATTACCAAAGATGAGTGGCGGTGGGGTAGCCTAGTGGTTAAAGAGTTGCTCGTCACACTGAAGACCCAGTTCGATTCCTCACATAGGTACAATGTATGAAGCCCATTTCTTGTGTCCCCGTGATATTGCTGGAATATTGCTAAAAGCGGTGTAAAACCATACTCGCACCAAACAAGAACTGGAATAGTGACACTAGAAAATTCATCGTCATCGTGGATCGGACTATTTACGTTTCAAAAATGCTTGTATGGATTAACTGATGATATACAAAAAGCTAAACCGGCTCAAATGTTCTCTGCTGGCGATCTGACTATTTGGTTAACGTATCTAGGACCACTGCGTCCCATTCGAAAATGACACAAACAGGGGAGGCGATCAGATTAAAAGGCCCATCGATGTACTGTAGAGTGCGCCCGGCTCTGATATATTTGTAAGTATGACCTATATATATAAGATATTAGTCCAGTATATATATAGGTGTGCTCGACCTTGGATGGAATACGAGTTTATTCATATGAACTAATAAGATATCATCGAGGATGATAAGATATAAGATATATAGGTCATACTTATAAATATATCAGAGCCGGGCGACTATGGCGCGTGCGTGTGTGTGTCCCCATATACTCCCCTCCCTTTCGCTTTTCACAGCATGACAGTTACCTAAAATGATGAGCATGGTGAATGCCGACCTTTAAATATCTTGGCTTGTGTTGAAGTCGGTCCCTCAACTCAGGAAGTTTATCGTCTGCTAGAAAGACTGCCATAGTTTTGTGACAATGCGTTGAGAGGGGTCGACACAGGGTCCCGAGGTTAAGTAGCTTATGCAATGATCCCCAGATCAACATATACACGATTGATTCATGTCCACCCTGACCAACATGCGACAGCTTGGTCCAGATGATGTTGTCAACTCCCAACACCGACATAGGTCTGGAAATCGATGAAGCACCATGATAGACAGTGTTCGGAGCTCCGTTTGAAATATTGTACGGGCGCTTTATCCTGCGCTAAAAAAACAGCAACAAATCCGATGCAAAATTCAGTTTTCAGAAGACACACTATTATATGCTCACTGTTTGAGTTGATGTAAAGTGTTTTTATTGTATTGTACCATTTCCATCAATATTCCAGCAAAAGCAAGGAACACTAGAAAACGGATCCACACATTGCACCCGGTACGAAGGCTTTAACCACAACAGACTACCCGACATCCAATTTTTCTTTAACATAGTGTTAATGTCTGGTGAAACATCTTCAAAAGGAATATATTTTCGATGCCCGTAGGCGGGTCTGGAAGATGTGTACATGGTGGGAATTATATAAAATACACGTCATGATAGATGATTAAGTCTTTATGTCTTGCTCGTCCATGCAAAAATCTAGCCAGCTGAACCTATTCTGTTGTGTTTGATTCCAATAGTTACCAGATGTTTACATGTGTATTCACTCTGTGTTATGTATCAACAATTATTTGTTTCTATCATCAATTGTAACTTTTGTGTTCGCAGAATGGAAACTTATTGAAGTGTGAACAACAGATGAATTATATTTAGGAATCAATTCAGCAGTGCGCTCATCAAAAAGAAGTAGAAATCGTATCCCATTCATTATGATGTATTCATTAAAGAAAAAAATTCATGAAAGTTCAAAAACACGCCTTAAATTCTGTATTGGTGATGACCCGTCTACCTCCTCCCTTCGCAACAGCCGGGGTGATCTTCTTAGCCCAGTTGTATTCATATCAAGCGTGGAATACTTCGTATTGTTGAGATTTTCCCATGACAACATTTCTCCCGATACCTGTCACGGATCAACTACCCAACAAACGCCCTCAAGTCGACTGACAGAAGTCATTCAGCGACCCACAAACGAGAGCCCAGACGGTGCCCTTAGCTTTCATAGCCACAGTTAATACAGCCAACAAAAGTCATTTGTAACAATAATGTCGGCTGTTGGACACAAATCGACGCATGTTATGGCAGCGCAAGTTCTGTTCATGTGAATATTAACCAACACTATTACTCACGCATACGCTTATACTGGAGAAAAGAAACAAACAGATTTCCACTTCTGAAAGATATAGTCTACTGGGAGAGTAAGTACTGTTTATTTTTGTTTCGAGCATACATTTGACTGAAATGATCATGAACATCAGTGATGTCTCCCAAGTTCCAGCTTAACTGTGGTGATAGCCCGGGAACATATCTATTTATTCATGCTATGCATTTATGGCCCAAGACCCTGCTCTGAGGGAGTCTGATGAGCCAGATTGTGAGTTCCAGAAATACCCAGTTCACCAATATTTTATGATGTATGTTTATCTTATTACAGAGAGTCAATGTCTCAGACAAACAGTGTAGTAATTACACTGTCTACATGTAAATCAGTAATTAGAAGGTCAACGTCACAGGGTGTCTCCGTAAGACATTGGGAGGAGACTGCACTTTACTATCACATTGTAACATTGGGTAAACATGAATAAATATATTCTGGAAAAGGAAACATTGGACATTTTTGGATTGTCAGCTGTCAGACCCAAGTACTATGCATCCAAATTCCCAAATGGGTCTCTGCTGAAAGAACCCAAGCCTACATTTTCTGATCATCCTCAATTATTAAAGGTATGATATCATTACCAAATAGAGTAGAAATGAATTGACATATTTCTGTGGAAAGGAAAAGATTAACATTTTACAGTCAATACAGACATAACTGTTTTTCATAAAACTAACAACCACTCAAAGTTAGGGTCAGTTCATGAAAAAGATATAAGCCTTTAAGGGATGTACTATTTTTTGTACACTCATAGAATTAATACCTTTCTGCCTATTGCTACAGTATTGTGTTTAAACTTAATTATCATTAGAGTACTTTGTAGTACTTTTCTGTGTTCAAAGTTATTCCAGCAAACCAGAGGACCTAAAAACTACTCTAGTTGAATGTTGATGTGTCTTGGAAGACACTTATCAGTGTTTTGGATTGGTTTGACCTGTTAACCGGTACCTCGAATGGCCCCACAGTTGCAACTTCAACCATCTTCAGATCGTATCAATTTGGCCATTCTATGGAATGGTGACAGTCTAGCCCCAGATTGGACACAAGGTCATGGGCACATTCTAGACTCAGATAGGTTACACCTACTGACAGTCTAGCCCTAAGTAAGACAAAGATACCACTGCAGTCCACAGGGACTATCTTGATCAAGATCAGACTCATGTTGAGGGGATTGAAATGTTTAGACTAAGGTCAGACCCTGATACTAGTCCAGGTCATAGAGACAGTCCAGATCAGATCCAAATAACAACCTAAGCTAGGGATCCAATTGCAGGCCCAGGCCACAGAGACAGTCTTGATGCAGTCAAGTCTTGGTTATAGTGGTAGCTCAGACCTAGATAACAGTCTTGGTCATGCAGACAGTCTGGTCACAGATCAAACCTAGGTATCAGTCTAGATTTGAATCAGATTTATCTACCAGTCTGGACCAAAGATCAGATGCTGATACCAGGCTAGGCCACAAAGACAGTACAGACCAACATCAGACCCAGAAAACAGTCAAAGAGACAATCTAGACACAGATAAGACCCAAATACCAGTCTTGATTATGGTGGCAATTACCATATTAGAAACACACTGGGAATTATTCCCAATCTACACTCAGACAAGGCACAAGGTCATGGTATCATATAAGACAAAGACTGGTCACACAGACTAGCCTTGAAGGCAGTGTGGACCAGGATTAGACAAAGACTGGTCACACAGACTAGCCTTGAAGGCAGTGTGGACCAGGATTAGACAAAGACTGGTCACACAGACTAGCCTTGAAGGCAGTGTGGACCAGGATTAGACAAAGACTGGTCACACAGACTAGCCTTGAAGGCAGTGTGGACCAGGATTAGACAAAGACTGGTCACACAGACTAGCCTTGAAGGCAGTGTGGACCAGGATTAGACAAGGAGTTCTATAAACAGCCTTGGCCCAGACTGGCCGTAGTTTCCCAATTCATAGACACCTAACATTGAGTAACACTCACAGGCAGGTCACATCTGGACCTTCATATATGGAGTCATAGCAAGCAGAAAGATGAGATGACATAACTTGATGAAGTATTTTATTGGTAATATTGAAACATATTACCTCATACAAGTTTTATATAAAGACTGGTCACACTGGTGACTAGCCCTAAGGCAGTGTGGACCAGGATAGACAAAGACTGGTCACACAGGACTAGCCTGTAAGGCAGTGTGGACCAGGATTAGACAAAGACTTATTCACAGACTAGCCTTGAAGGCAGTGTGGACCAGGATTAGATTAAAGACTGGTCACACAGACTAGCCTGAAGGCAGTGTGTGGACCAGGATAGATTAAAGACTGGTCACACAGACTAGCCTTGAAGGCAGTGTGGACCAGGATTAGACAAAGACTGGTCACACAGACTAGCCTTGAAGGCAGTGTGGACCAGGATTAGACAAAGACTGGTCACACAGACTAGCCTTGAAGGCAGTGTGGACCAGGATTAGACAAAGACTGGTCACACAGACTAGCCTTGAAGGCAGTGTGGACCAGGATTAGACAAAGACTGGTCACACAGACTAGCCTTGAAGGCAGTGTGGACCAGGATTAGACAAAAGACTGGTCACACAGACTAGCCTTGAAGAAGAGCTGGTCACAAGGCAGACCCCAGCCTTGAAGGCAGTGTGGACCAGGATTAGACAAGACTGGTCCCACACAGACTAGCCTTGAAGGCAGTGTGGACCAGGATTAGACAAAGACTGGTCACACAGACTAGTTTCTGAAGGCAGTGTGGACCAGGATTACACAAGAACTGGTCACACAGACTAGCCTTGATGCAGTGTGGACCAGGATTAGACAAAGACTGGTCACACAGACTGAAGCCTTGAAGGCAGTGTGGACCAGGATTAGACAAAGACTAGTCACACAGACTAGCCTTGAAGGCAGTGTGGAGCAGGATTAGACAAAGACTGTCAAGACAAAGACTGGTCACACAGACTAGCCTTGAAGGCAGTGTGGACCAGGATGAACAAAGACTGGTCACACAGACTAGCCTTGAAGGCAGTGTGGACCAGGATTAGACAAAGACTGGTCACTGAGGGCTAGCCTTGAAGGCAGTGTGGACCAGACAAAGACTGGTCACACAGACTAGCCTTGAAGGCAGTGTGGACCAGGATTAGACAAAAAAGACTGGTCACACAGACTAGCCTTGAAGGCAGTGTGGACCAGACATAGACTGATCACACAGACTAGCTTTGAAGGCAGTGTGGACCAGGATTAGATAAAGACTGGTCACACAGACTAGCCTTGAAGGCAGTGTGGACCAGGATTAGACAAAGACTGGTCACACAGACTAGCCTTGAAGGCAGTGTGGACCAGGATTAGACAAGGAGTTCTATAAACAGCCTTGGCCCAGACTGGCCGTAGTTTCCCAATTCATAGACACCTAACATTGAGTAACACTCACAGGCAGGTCACATCTGGACCTTCATATATGGAGTCATAGCAAGCAGAAAGATGAGATGACATAACTTGATGAAGTATTTTATTGGTAATATTGAAACATATTACCTCATACAAGTTTTATAGGTGATTCAAGTAAAATTGAAAATGACACTGTACAACTTGTTAAACAAAACAGCTTCATTGTCAACATGAAGAAACTCACATAATTACAACCAATGAAACACTGTTGTTGCACTACAGCTATATAAGAAACTACACATAATGCTTTAACCAAGTAAAGTCAGTACAATATAGGAAATCACTAAAATTATATCTTGCTTCAAGAACTTTTATGAAAATATTTCTTGGTGTGTTTATCATGGATTCTTGCTACAAAAACATGACTAAGGAAATAAATAATTTTAGTTATCTAGGATCTCATGAAACTATTAATGTGTCAACATATTCATTT